CTAGCACACGTTTGGTCAAAGAATTGGCTTCACTTGTCTCTTTGACGAGTTGTAAAATAGTGCTAAGAATGGTAAAACTCACTGACGCTGCCGGCGAAACGTCTGGGAATGTACCACGTCCACGGTCCGACTTGGGAAATAATTATGCATAGAATGGACTCAGGACAAGGTGCGTTTCTATAAGTCTTCATACCATTATGACCAAGTTGCGAAAACAAGTTCTTTTTCTAGTTTTCAGGACGTAATTAAGCGACGAGTGTCAGCAAACTTTTGCAAAAAGAATTTCTATAAGTGAATAATTCTTTCTATACTTAAATTGTCAGTAGTGATACATTATTCTGTCTTTGATATGTCAAGAGAATCATGTTATTCTTGCTATCCAAGGACTTTGCTTGATGTTCAAGAATTCCTTTTTTCGTCGTAAAATTAAGCCCTTTATGAGGGAGGAGACAATTCACTTGAAGACCCATGTTTCTTTTCTGAGATACATTATGTTCTCCATATACTTTTAAATTGAATTTCATTAGTTTATTGTTTGTATTTATCATAATTCCCTGCATTAGACCATGGACTTGGTACATTCTCATATGTTTCACTGGCATCATTAGTGTGTTGTCATTCTCCGAGCTAAGTTACAAACTCGTCAGAGACAAATCAAGTCAATATCCGGGATGTAGGATACACGAACCAGCTGTTCAAATATTTCTGGAATTGAAATGTCGCGGAGACATTTCTTGCAGCCAGGACTGATATGTGATAAATATCTCTACGGGCTTATAAGCTGGAATCTTGATTCTATTATCTGTTAATTTAGTGTAGTGGTTCAGGTCTCTTAATATTTCTTGGTCGGGGCAATGTACCTAGTGTTGCATCTTAAGGTAGACTACGGGCATACTTAAGGGCCACACTATATTGGTATTAATATCGACTATCAAATTTGAGTTTTATGGTCGTGAAGTCTGAAAATAGTTATCGCGAAAGACTCGCGAGTACCTTATAAATAAAACGTAATAATGATATTCTATGTATTATTATAGGATCTTATCTATAAAATAATTTTAATTGATAGGAGCCTCCTACACAAACCACGAGCCGATAAGCGTATGCTGATTATGCTGAATCCATGTGCTTCGGTTTAAGCTACTTATTTGAAGTTTATGGCGTCCACCTTTTGAGATTTGATAAGTAATAAAACTGAGTGTAAGCAAAACAATTTTTAGACCCATTCTACCTAGGTAGAAGTAAATTTAGCCTAAGTATTATGCTGAAAACTGCCTTTTATCAATTATGATTGTAATTATTATTGTTAATAAGTTTATTCGTAGTAACCTAATTTTTTTACACTATCTGACTTATGGCCCTGTATACTAATTGTTTTATTTTAGTCACAAGAAATAGATTAACATTCTGCAGACCTGTACATGATAAAGGAAATGTAATGTTGCTAAGCAGCAAAAGAATAATTACTGGTTGCTTGACTTCATAATGATTCTCTGGTTGATTTATATGTAAAATGCAGATCACAAACCAATACGCTTGGGAGAAAACACTTGTAAAAAGCGGCCCGAGGGCAAACGTCCTTTGCTACAAGGTAGTTATGGCCCTAAAGATTTGTTTTAGTGAAAAAGTCTTTCTGATTACACTTACTTGTTGAAATTGAAGGCTTGTGATTCTTGTTGGAATACCCTTGATATCGTTTGAAAAGTCGAGTGGAGGGGATTTGTATCTTAGTCTCACCAGAAGCTGTAGCATTGGAGTTGTGATTGTAGATTTGTGGAAAAAGGTCATCTGTGCATCGCCCTGCGATCCCGATGATTCCTTGCTGGGATTTCGTCCGTCATGTGACGGACATCGTAAGAACAGGACCTGTTTAACGAAAATTCACCACAACATGAGCCTTTCTTCAAACGCAACGAAAGGTACTTCGGCATCAATCTTCTAAATGATTCTTCGAAGTCCAGTTTTTCGACATACTTTTGATTTTTGCCACAATTCACTGTTTGATATTTTTATGATACATATCATGATACAATGGCGAGGCTTAAAGATAAACTTGAAATATTCAGGTAACTAAGTAAATAATTATAGTGATATATATATATCGCTATAAAAGATTTTGTTTTCGTTTATATTGCTCTTATCTTTAACAAGACTTTTGGCAATGTGTCAGCTACGGTTAAAGAATAATCAATTCTGGCCCTTTTAGGCGCCGCGACTAAGAAAAGTTTAGGAACCATTGGTATCTACTATATTACAAATACGCTTGTTTTTTTCCTGTTTCAAATTCTTACTGCCTTCCTCTTATGTCGAAATATTTTTCACTCTTTGACAATCCATATCTTATTTTCATTTTTACATTTTTTACTAACATAATCATAGAAAATATCAGACTTATGCAGTCCAGTTATATTTTATTTCTATCAGGTGAAGATGCTCAGTTGCCTGTCTCAGTGTTTCTCGCTCATGACTCGCTCGACCTTCTTACATGGCTTGGTGCTAATTCCGTCCGCTTGGCTGCTGCTGGAATTGATGTTCGTGCCGTAGTCGAACGTTCCATCGTGCATTTACTCAATGAGACCACAGCCGCTGAGGTTTCGAAAAAAGATGGTTCTGAGGGAATTATAGCTGATCCGCAAGTGATTTCGTGCCCTGGATATCGATTGGACCTGTGAATTATATCGTGAACTAATCCGCAAGTAATTTACTTTGTTTGGGCTTCAAGGGGCTGCGAAGTTAGTTTCTCTTGTTGCGCTGCACATCGCTTCGACCTCTGCG